GATTGCCCTCAATCCGGACGAGCTAGCCGATCAGTTGGGGGACGAGGAGGCGTTGAAGGAAAGGTATGAGCAGGAGGTGGAGGCCCGGCAAGCAGCCAAGAGGCTGGCGGACGACGACAGCGACGACGAGCAGGGGGGGGGGCGCAAGAAGCGCAAAGGAGAGAAAGGGTGGAGTGGAGGGAAGAAGGGGAAAGAATTCAAGTTCTAGGGAGTCGGAGGGGCCGGGGGGCCGGTGGATGGTGCATGAATCTTGATTTCCAGGGGGGGGGGAGCTGGAGGCAAGGAGAGGAGGGAAAAGGGGCTGCCGTGCCCTAGGGGTTGACCAGTGGGAAGACGCTGCGGTCGGTGGGTGTGCTATGACACGTTTGGTTTGGATCAAACGAAATAAAAGAGCTTGACGCGCGTTAAGACTTCAATACTTCCCGACATTATTTTATTGGCTCAAATTAGCTCCTCTTCCATTCCTTGAATTACGGGTATTTGACGCCGCGCATGAGGCACCCATGGTGGAATTCGTTTGAAACCAAATCGAACGAAGGAAATTTGTTCAAGAACTCTGGAAAAAAGGACTCTACTGGATGCTGCCCTCCCTCATCCGCTCGTCCCCCACTTCCGTCCCTGACGCGCACGCGACGCGTGACAGGCAACATACACTGCATAGATTACGATAATTAGGTCGACACACAACACGTAAAAAAAACTCTTGCTTTGCCATCTCCGCCTCGCCCTGTTCTTAAGCACTCCCTTACATGCTCTGCTACAATTTTGCTGGACTTGGATGGATATGGTATAACTTACGGGAATAGAGGAAACCCCTCGCCTCCCCCGGCCGATCGAGACACATCACGACTAAGGTCTGTCCTGAGAGAGTCTGCACACGTTCTCCGCTTTGAATCCCATCGCAGAGCTATTTCCTCGCACGGAGGGCTCGAGGCCTCCTCGTAACCCTTCCGGTCGCCCGACCCCCAAGTCCGCCGGCACGGTCCGTCCTTCCCTTTCTTTATGGTGCATATCTTTACCCGAAAGCGCTGCGCGCTATAATTCTACGCGTATCTTTGCCCTTCCCATCTAGTTTCAAAGCGAGTTTGGTCTGCTTGGATGTCGCGAACATGCGACCTCTCAAACAAGGCCAGTGCTTCTCCGACCTCCTTGACTTTCGAAACTTAAATTTGATTTACGGTGGAGTTGTAATATTCTGCTATGTATATTGGAAACTGAACTTTTTCACATTCGTCCATATCTGCTTCTCGCAAGTAACATTCAGAGGAAATTCGTTGACAGCGTTTGGGACGCTTCCCCTAAGGGAGCGCCTGTCTTGTGGAGTGGATCGTCTACGCCCTTATCTGCGAGTCATGATGTGCTTCTGAGTCCAATTCGCCGAGGATGCCATGAATCAAAGTCGAGAAAAAGCAGGACGAGCATTCTTGTGCATGTCTTCACTTTGGATCGTCTCATTCACGTTCCTCGACTTCTCAATTATCTTCTCGTGTACGGTGTCCCGGGGCCTCCCTGAACCTCCCCTGCCCCCCCTCGTGACTTCAGTCGCGAACCCAACCAGGCGTGACACCTGGGCAGTCGTCCGTCGTCAGAGGGGTTAGGATGACTAGGTGGAATTCATGGCGGTGGATGAGTGTGTATGATCTGCTCACGGCTTGTGGATACTTGTGAAGGCTTGATTATCCGTTCTCAGGGCCGACCAGGGCCTTGAGAAGAGTGCTGGGGGAAGGGATAGTACAACACGCAATTATGTACACAGGATGTCCCACGACTCTCCTACACGGAGGTGGAGGCGACCCGGTTGCCCCAGAAATCGCCTTCCATCTGAAGAAGAAAGGCATTCTCCCCCCGAGGACTGCAGAGCGCGGCGGCCGCGATGGCGGCCGCGGACGGCATCTGAGCAGCCTCTCTCTCTAGGCCTTCTCTTTCTTTCACCTCCTGATCGCAGTTAAAGGCGCTCTGATTGCTGTGGCCTTCCTCCAGGGTGCCGAGGGGGGTCATGCCGCTGCCAGTCTCGAGAGACAGCGAGGACAAACTTCCCGAGACGGGGGGCTCCGCCCAGGCCCATGGGGAGGACGCCGAGTCGCCGACCGTGTCGAAGGAAGTCAGGCAGGAAGGGAAGAGGTCATCAGCCCCTCGCGGCGAGGGTGCCGGTAGCACGTTGTAGGAGAAAAAATTGGGCAGTGCGTTTGGGTCCTGTGACTTGACGGTGGCGGGGCCGGCGGGGGCGGTGGAGAGGGGCGCTAGCTGGCCCTGGCGGACGCCACCAGGAATGGTCAGGCTGAGGCGAGGCCGCCCTTGAGACCGGGAGAGGTCCAGAGCGTGCCGCTGCTGGGGGTCCGAAGCGCTTCCGCCCGTGGGGGCGAAGGAAATGCCTCCCGCTCCCTCTGCCTCCCCGTCGCCTTCCTTTTCGTCTCCTCCGTCCTGGCCATCCGACATGGAAGAAGCGTACCCCGACAGCGCGCCCGCCGAGGTGTTGGCCTCGCTCCCGTCCTCTCGGTCCTCAGGGAAGTCGTCCGCCGCCAGGGTCTCCTGGAGCGAGACACAGTCCCCAGAGGTCACAGAGCACATGCGCTTCCGTCCCTGCTGGTGGCCGCCAGAGGTGCTGATCGACGAGAAGCTGAGAGAGGCGCCCCGCTTCAGCCCCACACTCCCGGGGGACAGGCTATCTGTCGCCTCGTCGTCCGAGTCCGTGACCTCCTCGGCCTCCTCCCCCACGAGCGGCGAGTCCTCCTCTCCCTCGCCTCCCTCCTTTCCGACGACCGTGCTGCTTTTGCGCTTCACGCTGAGCAGGCTCTTGATGTTGCCACCGGAGAGCTGGACGTTGGTGTACGTGCACGCACTCATTTTGCCTTTCCCTTGGGTTTTGCGGAAGCCAAAGTAATTGAGCTGGCGCTGGAAGGAGCTGTATTTGCTGTGCCGGAAGTACTTGTGCAGGACGCTCTGCCCGAGCACAGTCGGGTCGCGGACATGGATTTGTCCTGGAGGATGGGAGGGGGAGAGAATAATGGATGAGCAGAGTTTAGAGTTTAAAGTTTGACAAACAGTAGGGGGTTCCTCAGAGACCGCTTATACATACTATTTAATACCGGTAACGGGAGAGAGAGAGAGAGAGAGAGAGAGAGAGA